TTAAAGTTGGACTTATTTTTTGAATAAAAAAAAATACTCTCTCCCGCTTGCACATACCAAAAAGAAGGGGTAAATTATTAAACTAAATTATACAAATATGTACATAGCGTGTGAGCTATGCAAGGTTTACTTTGACCAGAACCTACAAGATGAAGATGAAGTCAATCATTGCATGACATATGCAAGGAATGTCACTATTAGGACAATAATATTCTATACCTTTCTTTTCCTTTCTAACTATTTACCATGGACAGAGTGCTTTTTGGACAGTGCTTTCATTTGCAAAGAGGCAACAAATAAAAAACAAGACAGGCTTTTCTCTCTCTTCAACATGTTTCCATATGTTATATATTGAGTTGTAATTCACTGTAATTATGTTGAAAAAGAAGTCCAATTTAATTTTGTGAAGTTAATGAACTCTTGTATATATTTGAGCAGCCATACTTTCATATTCTTAATGATATGCTCACCTATTTATTTTTAATTGAATTTTTTTTAAAAATATTCCAATCGGTTCATTACTTCGCAACTAATTCGATTTAGGGCGTGTTCAGGATTAAGGTTTTAAACCTCTTCCAAAGTGGTACTGGGAAGATTCGAACATGCTCTCACTCCCACCTGTTTAGCTCTTATGCGCCAACTGAGCCACCAGCATTTAATATTTTTAATTGAATTTTTATTATGAACAAGATAAATTATTCACATCATACTATATATATATATATATATATATATATGTATATAAACTGCATACCTAGTCCTATTTAACATTTTATTTGACATAAGCAATTGAACATCTTATGTGTGCTTGGTTATGTTTGATTTTGTTCTGTTTTTCTTTTTTGTGGGGTGGTTTGAACAAAGGAAGATGCTTCATGACCATTTAATTGCAAACTTATAAGAAACAAAAGTGATCATTCTTAGAGGATGAAATAAAAGTATAGAACTATGACCAGGAAAAGTAGAAAAAGAAAGGGAAGGAGGAGAAGAATAAGTGTCAGCTATTTGGAAAGAAGTCACCTTGTCCTAAGAATATATACCCGTGTGTATATGTATTTTGCACTTGTTACGCCTTGATTGCTCATTATATGTCTCCATGTTATGATGATCTGTAAAGTAATTAATTAAATAATACTATTTGCAATTTTTCTACTATTCTTAGTCTTCACTTATGGACAATTTATGCTATAAGCGATACGATTAAGCTAATGTCATAAAAATATATATAGACATTGTCTATGAAATACATCAATTTATAAATTGACATTAAAAATAAAAATAATAATAGATTGTTGCTAACATTCAGCTACAAGGATACTATAAATTGTGCTTGCCATAATAATGCATCCTATGACATTATGGCTTTATATTGGAAAAAATGTAAGGGTAAAGATTTCTGCAATTTTCCCCCCTTTTCCTTATATGGATATTCCTTTCATATGTTATTGGAAAGAGCTAATTTGTTTTTATCATGTAGTAGTAACTAGTGTTAGTAGATAGTAAAAATCTTCCATGTGAAAATTCAAGTTTTTATTTGAGGATACTGCAAACGCATATATATATATATATATATATATATATATATATATATAGAGAGAGAGAGAGAGAGAGAGAGAGAGAGAGAGAGAGAGATATTTCAAATTGAAGGCTAAGACTCATTGATAAGGTTCTTTTGAAATGGAATAATGACTACAGAATCTTGAAAATAAATCATGCCATCATCATTTACGAAAAAAATGAAAGAAATAAGGATAAAGTTTATTGGAAAAATTCCTCATGTAAGCGCTATGCAAAATTTATTTTTGTGCTCATGAATAAAATTTATTTATTTTCTGGTAACAGTGAATACAATTTATTTAATTCCATCAATAAACTAATGTTGCTTACACATATACGATTTATTTTTTCGAATTTCCTCACATTTTTCTCTTTTAAGCCATGGAATAAATTTTTTACTTGAACTCTTATGTATTTGTTATAATTCTTCTCACTTCCCAATGCTCTCGTGCAGCTGTCATTATGTTAAAATTTTATATTCAGGAAACTTAAAATAAAAGTATAATGCTAAGCCGAACCTTTTGTTTTCTTTTTTAATTTTTTGGTACAATGATTGAGAGATCAGGTACTATTTATTTGAACAATTTTATTTTTATTTTATTTTCCTAAAAATGAAGGATCGGATACTATTTGTAACGGGTAAAATTTCCTTTCATTATTTCAAAACAAATAAAATAGCGTCATAAATAACCAATATTTTTATTATAAATACTAATCGATATTCAAAGCCCTAATGACCTCATTAATTCAGTTTCAGGTATAAATAACCAACATATTTAATTTGGATTATTTCTCAAAGAAAGTTAAAGATAATTAATGTACATGGATTTGAGTTATTATCATATTCAGCATAAGAATAGTCTTAAAAAGTTAAAGGAAAGATAGATTTATTAAAATAATAGTCCATGGTCCTTAATTGTAAAAAAGATATTTAGTGATCCCTACCTATACATGATTCAGGTGAGCCTTGTAAGGAGGGTGGAAGTCACTACTTTTCAAAGATACAGTGTTTATCGCATAATGACACCCCTTTACCTTTTATTTTGTCCCCGGTTAGCAATAAAATCCTCTCTTAATGACTTTGTTGTGATGGTACATGTGAATCACCGAAAACAAAACAAATATTTTGTTGGGTGCTAATCCAAGACATAATCATAATGCCTCACTAGACTACAATACGCTTTGAGAAACACAAAACTGTTTAAGGGACAAATTATAAAGCACGAAAACTTTTGTTGGTTGGAGATCTACAGCGCTGTTACTTTGAACTTAAATCGTGGAAAGTCATGTTTATGTGTTTAATAATATAATATATTCGGAAGACACAAAACAAAATCATTGAAACATATGGCACTCATATTTAATTATAATATTCATTACTAAGAAAAAAAACGAATGACCAAGACATTTGCAATTAGCAAAAGATGATGCAAATGGGATTGCTGGGAATCAATGTTACCCCGTGAAATATGTTTGTGTTATTTAACCCAAAAACAGTTCTCTGCCTTCCCCTTCTCCATGTTGGTAGTTTAAATTTAAGTGGTGAAGTCTTACATTCATAAAAAATTAATCAAGTCAGAATTATATAAATGTAATAATTCATGAAATTAATGCCTTAAAGATTTTAGTTAAGATATAATGTTGGCTTACTTATTGTGGTGAATTATTGGTTAACCTATTGATAATAATCTCACCGAGATGAGCTCTAATAAACTCATAGTTTATCATGCTTTAATGGACTAAAATCATAGTTATTAACTTTCAAATCTAGCCTAAAGCATAAACAGTTATTGTTATTTGGTTAGGAAGTTGTATCCTTCTTTCTCGGCATATTTGAGTAATCTTTGCTAATTTTGTAGATGAACGGAGCTAATTGGAGCAAGGATGTGCTTGGATAAGACAAAGACAAAGACAAAGACAAAAGGGAGTTAAGGAAGCATATGAAAAAATCATGATGATTGAGAGAATTCGGACACTGCCATAGCACGCTTAAGCGTGATATAGAGTGCTTAAGCGTGCTTAAAGAAGAAAAATAGAATTTAGGAACTGTCAGAGCACGTTTAAACGCGCTATCCTGCGGAACAAATTTTGCAGCTGTGCGTTCTTAGAAACCTAGCTCATTTTATCTGATATAAAAGAGATTTTTAGAGCTTTTGAAAAGAGAAGCGACAGAGAGACGACTAGAACTTAAAGGAGACAATGTTTTGGAGATTTGGAGGCACAATCAAGAGGAGCTTTACCTTCAACATCTAGAGATGTAGTTTTGGGGAAGCTTTATTTTCTTTCGTGTTTTTGATTTGAACATGTTTGACTAAATCTTCTTGTAGTCTAGGGTTAGATGGATCTTGACGTAAACTTATTACTTGATTATTAATGTCTTAATGCATCTTTCCTTCATTTGTTTGAAGTGCTAGATAGTAAATTTCTGGGTTGAAGTGTTAGACAATAAATGTTTAGGTTGACGAAACGTTTTCGCAACTCACTACGAGAAGCGTTAGATAGTAAATGATTTGGTTGACGAAATGTTTTCGCAGCTGATTACAAGAAGTGTCATATAGTAAATGTTTGGGTTGACAAAACGTTTCATGACTACGAGAATTTTTAGACATTAAATATTTAGGTTGACGAAACGTTTCGGCAACTCACTACGAGAAGTATTATATAGTAAATGTTTGGGTTCACGAAACGTTTCCGCAACTGATTACCAGAAATGTCAAATAATAAATGTTTGGGTTATACAATAAATGTTTAGGTTGACAAAACGTTTTAACATTTGACCTATCAATCTTTTCGGTTAATAAGATATTTTAACACTTGATTACGATATCAATCTTCCAGTCAACGAGACGTTTTAGAAATTGACCAGGAAATCACGGGATCGGTCAAAAGTATTTCATTAAATTTTATATTAAAATAATATAACATATTTATGAATCCTTAAATAAATGAATAAATAAATTATTTTGACTAAACTTATTTTTATTAGTTGAAAGTACTACCATTAAACACCTCACGAAGTTGGAAAGTAAATGAAATCCATAATAACACTAGTCTATATAGTGTTGAAAGGGAGGGAAAAAGATAAACAGCAAAAGCAAAAGGGTAGAAAATTTTTTCCATATTCGAAATTGGTGTGTTAAGTGTTAGCATCTGAAAATCGTGAAAAAAAAAAAAAAAACCCAAAAGAAATTTCGTTTCCCCTTTCTCAGACATATTCTATTGTAACTGCAAAAGAAAGAAAACCTCTCTCTCTCTCTCTCTCTCTCTCTTTCTGTGTCTTTCTTCTCTACACAGAAACATTGCTGCCTGTCCAAACCCCAACTTCCCCTTCACACCACCACATACACAGCAATAGCATAGGGCTTCGTTCCCAAATCTCTCTCTCTCTCTGTCTCTCGCTTTGGTTTCGGAATTGGATCTGTAACCGAACCCGAAACGAATCGAATCGGGTCAGAGTTGGAATCGAAGTGGGGGTTTGGGAACGTGATCGGATCGATTAGGCATTTTCATTATTGAAATGGGAATGCCCGATCGGAATCTGGAGGAACACGAACGATGAGCAAAACGGTGCGTAAAGAAGAAGAAGAAGAAGAAGAAGAAGAAGAAGAGTGCTTCTACGAGTCACAAGACCGTTTGCTTTCTCTTTCATCCTCTTGCTCATGCTCAGCCTCCAACTCCGACGACGACGACGACGAAAAACAACCACCGCAACAACCACCACAACCACAACCGCAACCGCAACAACAACACTCCACAAACAACAATTACTACAATTACAATTTCGCCCTCAACAACTACGACATATGGATCTCCCAACCTTCCTCCGTCTCCGAACGCCGCACCCGCCTCCTCCAAAACATGGGACTCTCCGACGACCCTTCCCTGACACGTGGCAAGCCTGACATCATCAATGCCGACTTCTCCCGATCCGTTTCCTCCGATCACCTCAACCAACACCCGCCCAAAACCTCCGCCTCCGCCGCAGCAGCCGCCGCTTCCATGGTCCGATCGAAATCAGACGGCGCGTGTGAGAATTATAATAATAGTAACAACAACAGTAATAATAATAATGATTCGTCTTCTTCGATTCTTTCCATTCTTTCTGTAAATAACCGGAATGGCGAGGGTGGGTCCCCAGGGAAGCCTCCTTCGGGGAAGAGTTGCAAGGGGAGCGAATCGTCGCCGTCGGCGGTGGTGGTTGTGGAGGAGGAGGTGGAGAGGGTGAAGGAAACGGAAACGGAAAAGGAAAAGGAACAACAAGTGTGCACCATAAGAGATCTTGATAATGGGAAGGAGTTTGTGGTGAAGGAGGTTAGGGAAGATGGGATGTGGGACAAGCTCAGGGAGGTCGAGACAGGTAGGCAGTTTACCATGGAAGAGTTCCAGATGACGGTGGTGGGGCACTCGCCGATTGTTCAGGAGTTAATGCGCCGGCAGAACGTGGAGGAGGGTAATGGTAATGGTAATGCTAAGGACAATGTTGATAACATTTTCAATGCTAATGGAGGGAATGGAAGTGGAGGAGGAGGAGGAGGTGGCGGTGGTAGTGGTGGTGGTGGTGGTTTCAAGGTGAAGAAGAAAGGTGGGTGGTTGAAGAGTATCAAGAGTGTTGCAAGTTCAATGGCGGGTCATAAGGAGAGGCGGAGTAGCGACGAGAGGGATACCTCGTCGGAGAAGGGTGGAAGGAGGTCGAGTTCTGCCACTGATGATAGCCAGGATGCTGCTGCTGCTGCTACTTCATTTCATGGACCTGAGAGGGTGAGGGTTAGACAGTATGGGAAGTCATGTAAAGAGCTTACTGCAATGTATAAGAGCCAGGAGATACGGGCTCATAATGGATCTATATGGAGTATTAAGTTTAGTTTGGATGGGAAGTATCTTGCCAGTGCTGGTGAGGATTCTGTGATTCATGTTTGGCAGGTTGTGGAGTCAGAGAGGAAAGGGGAGCTGCTGATGGAGAGACCAGACGATGGGAATGTCAATATGTTGTTTGTCGTAAATGCGTCGCCGGAATCTGCTGCGCTTCTGTCCCCTACCATGGATAGCAACCATCCGGAGAAGAGGAGAAAGGGGAGGTCATCCATTAGCAGAAAGTCACTGAGCTTGGACCAATTCGTGGTGCCAGAAACTGTGTTTGCACTCACAGAAAAACCCATTTGCTCCTTTCAAGGCCATGTCGATGATGTGCTTGACCTTTCCTGGTCAAAGTCTCAGGTTAGCTTCTATTTTTAAGATAGGTCTTGATCTTATTATTCTGTAATTCCGGCAGTGTGTTTAATTTCTCAGTGTGTCTGTAAAGTTTATTATTCACTCTTATATGGCCTTAGTTGATCTTGTGTTGGATATGTTGTTGTTTTATTGGTTTTTCTATATTTCCCTGTTAACTGATTAATTCACTTTTACTGGCAGTTTGAGTTAGTTTTCTGCTTTGTATCTGTACCACAAAGATTCAGTATTCGTTATATAATTGATTGGAATAGGACAGTTTTCCAGTGGCTGAATAGGCATCAAGGGACAAATATGGATTTCAAATTGCATTAGAATATATTTAGTGTTAACAATATCTGTTGCGTTTAATCTGCAGTTTACGCAACAATGGTTATATTATTTGAGGGAGATGTCTGGTTATTACATTGCGGAAAATATTTGTGCACAGTACACAGTCTACTAGACTATCGCTAGTTTTTTGTGGCACTAGTTTGGGTTGAGTTAGTGTAGTCTTAAAATACATATTGGAGGAACAAATAGATACAGTTCTGTCCCAGTGAGAAGGTTTTTCGGATTGTTTTCTTTTCTACTCCCTATCAGATTGAAATTTATATTTTTAAACTTTTGAATTTAATGAGTCTAAAATGGTTGATTTTTCCTAGAGTTCCTTGGAAAGGCATTTAAAAATTATCAATTTAAGGAGGTAATTTATAAACACCAGGATGGTGGGTATATGTTAAGATTTCTTTATAATTAATGTTTACTTTGACTGTGAAATGCTCCACGGGTATATCCAATTTTTCCAGCATTCACTATAGTGAATAATAAATGTAGAGATAGTTTGGCTTGGCTATAAGGAAAATGGAACTGAAGTTTACTGCTTAAAAGACAGAAAAATTGTGTTCAGGTCAGTAACTTGCTTAGGATGCTCTATTTGTAACTTAAGAGTGCTTATTAGATGGTTTGTTGATGTCATTATGATGACCGGCTGAGATTTTATCTTGTTTTAAGCTTAACTTCAGGTCAATTTATCATTATTCCCTATGTTAGTTTTAGGTAGTGTTTGCCAAACTTAAAAAAGTGGATAACTACTAGTTAGGTACTTTAGAGACTCAAATTTTAAAAATCAGTTTTTATTTAATAAGTTTCCAAGTCAAAACTGGCCCGAAACAAATTCTAAATTAAATTGGCTATATGCAATCTTTTTTTCCCTACAAAAAAATCTTTATTTATCTCCCCTGATCTCCTAATTTGTTTAAAATTTTAAAAAATGATTGGCTTACACGTACCAAATAATAATTGTTGTGAACTAGTTCAGACCCAATGTTTATACAAACTCAAGATGTTTGAAACTGGTTCTGATTTATATTGTTATGAAACCACATTCAACTTCAAAAGTTTTGAATGGATTTTTTCATTTGCCAAACTTCCCTCTATTATCCACATAGAAGTGGACGCATACCTAAACAGGTTGTTTTAATACATAATATCCCTATTTGAGTCATACCTTATAGATACAGTAACACTAGTGGGATTAGGATGAGAACCTTTCGGAGTGATTAAAATTTAAAAATTTTAACGATTGATATTATTGCAAGCTCTGACAATGCCTCTGAAAAGCTTCAATGGGGTTTTTTTACCATCTATTTATTTATTCAATGTTCTTGATTAATGTTTGTTGAATAATCTTTAAAATTCAAATATTTGTCATAAAGAAGTGCAGTGTATTCTAGAAATATGAATTAAAGTGTGTAATTTTGGATCATCCTTCTAATATTTTTTTCCCTCCACTTTGCTCAGCACTTGCTTTCATCTTCAATGGACAAAACAGTGCGGCTATGGCATTTGTCGAGCAAGTCTTGTTTGAAAATTTTTTCACACAGTGACTTTGGTGAGTAAATGCAGTTATTACATCTTGTAATGCTCTCATCTTTGCTAACCCTTAATCTGGGTAAATGTCACATAGCCACTCCTATGGTCACATAATTTTGATTAAAGGGCAGAACACTGATATATTTTCAATCATTTTTATCAGAACTTCTTCTGCCTCTTCCCAACTAAAATTTAAATTAGATTCCCAGTCCATCCGGTCCCTATCCAATCTAATTCAAGATAGACCCCATTTTTTTACGACTGGGTTACCACATTACGGCCCACCGGCCCATTTTTTTAAAATATTCCTCTCCCTCCCCTTTTTTTGTTCTTTGCTAATTATAAGTTTGCTTCAATCTGTTTTTGTCTGGCACAGTAACTTGCATCCAGTTTAATCCTGTTGATGATAGATACTTCATTAGCGGATCTTTGGATGCTAAGGTTCGCATATGGAGCATACCTGAACGAAAAGTTGTTGATTGGGTTGATCTGCATGAGATGGTCACTGCTGCTTGTTATACTCCTGACGGTCAGGTTGGTCCAAGGTTAATATGCATCTATTTGAACGCTCAGATTTTCAATTTTTAAACTCAGTTAAATTTGCTGGTGCAGGGTGCCCTAGTTGGTTCATACAAGGGTAGCTGCCATTTATATAATACATCTGGTACTGTGAAAGGCGTTTGTTTTCTCTTTTTTCCGTATAACTCTGTCTATCAATCTATATTGTGGTTATTGTTGAGCCACTGATTATCATATTCGTTTTATATTTCACTCAGAAAATAAGTTGCAACAGAAAAGTCAGATCAATCTGCAGAACAAGAAAAAGAAATCACATCACAAGAAAATTACTGGTTTCCAGGTATTGTAATGATTTACTGCTGTGTTATATGATATGCTCCCTTTTTTTTGTATCCCCTTCCAAAATGTTGAACAGGGGGGAAATAAAAAGCAATGGGAGGGTGCACAACTATAGTGGATTTGCTTTGACTAAGTTACAATGCTTATGCTTGTCTTCCACACTGAATTTTATAAACAGTTTGCCCCAGGAAGTTCATCAGAAGTACTTATCACATCTGCTGATTCACGAATACGGGTTGTTGATGGTGTTGATCTGGTTCATAAGTTTAAAGGTATGTAACACTAGTTATATTAAACCCGACTAGGGAGTGTGGGGAGAGGGAAATCCTTGTACGCAGCCTTACCCTTGCAAATCATTGCAAAGAGGCTGTTTTCCGGATTCGAACTCGTGACCTTTCAGTTACAAAGGAATAGCTTTACCACTGCTTTGGTTCGCCCTCTGTTATGTAACACTAGTTATATATCAAGTGAAATTTATTCAAAAAGATAATATAGCAAGTGAATAAACCATTTGGTAAACTGCTTTCATCCGTGTCAAGATTTGGTGCGCTCTATTCTGTGGTCAAAGCAAAACTTTTACAAATTTTTTTACGTTTTGTCTGGATTGGGGGAATATTTATCTCTCCGTGATTTGTTCTACTAAGGCAGAAAGACATATTGTAAATTTATTTTGACAGATGAAAAAGAATTGTGGTCTTGCTAGGTCTGCAACTTTGGTCAAATGGCAATAGGCCTTCAGTATATTTATTTCCTTGCTGGTCAAACTGATGCAAGTTTTGTGCAGGCTTTCGTAATGCAACTAGCTCAATTTCAGCCTCCCTCACAGCAAATGGTAAATATGTTGTCGCTGCGAGTGAGGATTCTCATGTATACATCTGGAAAAATGAAGCCGATTGCAGGCCTAACAGAAGTAAAAGTGTGACTGTCACGCGTTCATATGAACTTTTTCACTGTAAAGATGTGTCAGTGGCCATTCCTTGGCCTGGCATTGGTGATGCATGGGACATGCATGATGCATTTTCTGGAGAACAACCTGAGCTTGATAACAACACTGATGAAGTCTCATCGGCCAATCATCCTCCTACCCCTGTAGATGAAAACTTTGGTACCGAGGGTTCCCGATCTGCCTCAGTTTACAACAATAGTCCGCGTCATGCAACCATTGGAAGTGCGACAAACAGTTACTTTTTTGATAGAATTGCAACATGGCCAGAAGAAAAACTTCTTCTAAGTGCAAGAAATCATAGCCCCCGTGTCAGTTTGGATTTCTCTAATGGGGTTAGTCAAAAAATGTCAGCCTGGGGTATGGTGATTGTAACTGCCGGCCTTCGAGGTGAAATTAGAACTTTCCAAAATTTTGGATTGCCCCTTCGGATATAAGAGGTGATTGGATATGCATACTTATGGGCATGGCAGGGAATGAGTTCATAATATCAGCTCAGAAGGCAGTAGGCTTCACATTTCTTTAGTTGGCGAAAACCTGTACAGAAAGTGGGTGAGATTTGTAATATTAGCGGGGTTCTATTTCTTTTCTTGATATTGTGCTTGTTGGATGAAGGTAGGTTGCCATTCCAATCAGCCACTGATGGGGGAAAATGGGGAAACATTGTCAAACAAGAAAAAAAAAAAAAAAGGCACACCAAGAATTTAGAAACCGATGGATTTTTATGTAATCAGGAAATGTAGAGTTACTCTGGAGAAAAGCTTATTGAAATTAGAAATGATGATTCTTTTATACTTTTCTTTTGTCATGGAAATTCATTATCTTGTCCAAGTTAATCAATTGCAGGATAACAGCATGGCGTATTAGTGTGACTAGAGCATTGTTCAGTCTAGAAACTTAATTGCAACAGTATGAGATAAAAGATTTTAAAGATTATCTTGTGAGAAAATTTCAAGGCTGAAGCGCCTAGTTGCTTATTCTCTTTGTTATTTGTTAAGTGTTGACGTTGCGTTTGGGATAGCTTAATTACAAGTTGTGATTAAACCGTGGCGTGCCAATTTTTTCTGCTCTCATCAGCTAATTTACCTACATATTCCACGCACGCTACTGGCGGTGATGAAGATAATGGTGTATTCGTTTTAAGCGTGTGGTGTCTTAGATATAATTTTCAATTCATTCAAATAAAACTTAATAGAATCTAATCGTGCAAGGCACTTGGAAAATGCTATCTGATCTGATAACCTCTCTTGGCTGAAGAGCCAAAATGTTAAAAGATTCAAGAGCATGGTTATGACAATCAAGTTCATGGCATTATAGTTAAACTCATTACGGGGAAAACTTGTCAAATTCCTTAAAATTACATGTACGTAAAAATGCGAAGAGCTTGGATTCCAAAATATGGGATATTCCTGGAATATCAACGTTCCAATTAGGGGTGTGCAAAATAACCAAAAAATTGAGTCGAACCATGAACCAAACCAAACCGAACCGAACCGCCCCATAAAATAATCGGTTTTTAAAAACTAGTTCATGAGCCGAACCGGTTTTTAAAGAACCGGTTCATGAACCGAACCGGTTTAATAACCGAACCGTTTCCGAACCGAACCAAATTAATTTTTATAACTTTATTTTTTAAATTTTAAATTTTTTTTCTTTTCAAAAGTGGGTCGACCCGAACCGGTTTCGAACTACTTCCGAACCGAACCAGTTTTGAACCGAACTATTTAAACCAATTCGGTTCGATTTTTCAAAAAATCCGATTCGGTTCGACCTTTACACATCCCTAATTCCAAATATAGAAATTAAAAAATAGAGCACAATCTTTGACATCAATTTAACACAAGCTGGCATGTCAAATACTTTGTGTGTTAAAACTAGTTTTGGGTCTTTTTTGTCTCATTATTTAGGATTCGTCAATTCACTAGTCGTTTTTCTTGTCAACAATGCACACAAATAATGACCATGAACATATTTGAACAGTAGCACCACAGTTCTAGGCTAGTCGATTATCTATGTATTGTATTGGCAGAACTGCAGTTTACTGGGCTTAGACTACAACAAACTAAGCCCCATTCTGTAAAATTAGGCCCAATGTAGCAACTCATTGGGTTCCCATGAGGTAATTGGGTTAGGACAACATGGTGAGGCTGCAACTTGCACACATGATGGAGCGTTCAAAACCTTCTAGTTTCTTCTTTTGAGAAGAAATGAACAATCCCCCCATATCCCCATTAAGGAAGCTGCCAAAAAAGACATGTATTTGCCTTAAATACCCCACTTACTTTCAGCTCTGATATTCACAGTCCATAGGCCATTACTATTGTTGGCTTAGTTGTGGGACATGGATTGGCTCTTTTGGTAACGCATCAAAATATCCCTTCTTTAAGAAATCCAAAACTAGACACCCCATTGGTTGGTTTGAAAGGACGTGGCAAGTCCACATGCTGCTAATTATCTTATCCACTCATATCAAAATAAGCACTTCACTATATAAAATTATAAATTCATTTTCAAGTACTCATTCCCAGTGGGTAGCACCACTTACTAGATTTTCTTGCTGAGTGCTTACATTGTACAACCAAAAAAAAAAACCAAGTTTTTAATTTTTTATTTCCTTGCAAGTTACAATCAATGGCTCTCCAAGCTGCTTCTTTGGTTCCTGCTTCTTTCTCCATTCCTAAAGAGGTTTGCTTCAACTTCCCATGCTGCTTCTTCGCCTTCTTATATTACTTTACCAGAGTGATAATTGAATTGAGCTTTTGGGAAATTCCTTTTTGTCTTTGTTGCAGGGAAAGTCTAGTTTATCTCTCAAGGACTCCACCCTTTTTGGTCTTTCATTGTCTGAACCTCTCAAAGCTGACTTCAGCTCTTCTGCATTGAGGTACAAGGTAAGTGTAACTAAAGTTTTGCTATCTTCTACTTATATCTGAGTATATTAACAAATTTGGCTTAATTCCTTTTCTGGGGATTTTTTTTAAGGCTCCACATGTATTAAGGTTTCTCATGTAAATTTTAGTAAATGGTCAAAACACTGTACCACAAGGATTAAGAATCCGTTAGCCTCTGATATGTGATTATACTTGTTGAAAATGGGTTATTGATCTTTATTCTTTAATCAATTCCAGAGTTTAACAACAAAAAACAAAGCACTTATGTAATCTCCTCCCTAAGTTTTTGGGGCCATTGTCTAATTTTTGTTTTCTTTTATCAGAGGGAATTCCAACAAAGAGTTGGTGCTGTGAGGGCAGAGACAGTGGCTACAACCACTCCAGCAGTTAACAAGTCAGCACCAGAAGGCAAGAAAACATTGAGGAAAGGAAGTGTTGTGATAACTGGTGCTTCCTCTGGATTGGGCCTTGCCACTGCTAAGGCTTTGGCTGAGACAGGAAAATGGCATGTTATAATGGCCTGCAGGGATTTCCTCAAAGCTGCAAGAGCTGCAAAATCTGCTGGCATAGCTAAGGAAAACTACACCATTATGCACTTAGACCTTGCCTCTCTTGACAGTGTTCGCCAATTTGTAGATAACTTCAGAAGATCAGGGATGCCACTTGATGTGCTGGTTTGCAATGCTGCTGTTTACTTGCCAACTGCTAAGGAACCTAGATTCACTGCTGAAGGCTTTGAACTTAGTGTTGGCACAAACCATCTGGGGCATTTTCTCCTTGCACGCCTCTTGCTTGAGGACTTGAACAAATCTGATTACCCTTCAAAGCGCATGATCATTGTTGGCTCAATCACAGGTCCAATTTATTAGTATGTATAAATAACTAATTCAACCCAAAAGCTTAAAACTATTTGACGAAGGCCACATTAATAGTTTTATATTATATTTCTCTAACATGTCTCTTTACACTAGAGTCCATTGGATAATACACAGACATACCTATTTGTCTTAAGAAATTTCATTATATTTAATTATTTATTAATAGAATAGGGGTAGTAAGAATCGAAACTCGTAATCACTTGATCAGTTCGGATACCATGCAAGGAACTAATTTAATCCAAAAACTTAAAGCTATTTGATGAAGGCCACGTAATGGTTTTATATTATTACATTCCTATATGTTTATTGTGAAGTCGAGTTCTTTTGGTTGCTTTTTTGTGTGCTGATTGTGTAGATTAAACAGGGAACACAAATACATTGGCTGGAAATGTACCTCCCAAGGCTAACCTTGGTGACTTGAGGGGACTTGCGGGTGGCTTGAATGGGCTAAACACTTCATCCATGATAGATGGTGGAGACTTTGATGGTGCCAAGGCATACAAGGACAGCAAAGTTTGTAATATGCTCACAATGCAAGAGTTCCATAAAAGATTCCATGAGGAAACTGGAGTCACATTTGCTTCCCTTTACCCGGGTTGCATTGCCACAACAGGCTTGTTTAGAGAGCACATTCCTTTGTTCAGGACTCTATTCCCTCCATTTCAAAAGTATATAACCAAAGGCTTTGTATCAGAAGATGAAGCAGGAAAGAGACTTGCTCAGGTAATAGTAATGGGACTCTAAAAAGACAATGATGAAAAGAGCATAGGTTATTGAAATATCTTCATTTCTCATATATGGTTGTTTGTTTTTAATATAGGTTGTAAGTGATCCAAGCCTAACAAAATCTGGTGTTTACTGGAGCTGGAATAAAACTTCTGCTTCATTTGAAAATCAGTTGTCCCAAGAGGCCAGCGATGCAGAAAAGGCTCGCAAGGTTTGGGAGATTAGTGAGAAACTCGTTGGTTTGGCCTAACTGGGAGCCTCCAATATTCATGTTGTATCATTTGACCTTGCCATGGAGCAAAATGACATCTCAGAAGAGTTAATATTGTTTTGTGAGCTAGGAACTTTTTTTTGCATTGATGTAGGAGTCGATGACTTCTGAGATTTAAGACTATCAATAAAATCATTCAACCATGTGGCGAAGTGCTTATAAACTTTCTGAAATAACTGAACATAGTGACTGCAAACTAAAGTTATGTGGTGTTCTTATTGCCTATATTGAGCTAGCATAATTTCTCTTCAATTTTCAGTAATAGTTATTTAAGTTGAACTCCAGAGTAAATGGTTTAAGAGATCTTGCTTCATAACAGAGCAATCGCACAGGCAAAATGCAGGGGAGAAAAACCAGATTGGCGTGTTAGAGCTTATTCCTTTGAAAAAATAGTAAGTTTATTAGTTGAATAAAAGAATTAGCAAAAAAAAAAAAAAAAAAAAATTGTGAGTGAAAAGTACATGTTTCGTATGCAAATCATATATGTCGATTCTTAATGTTTTTCACTCTTAATTTTAAGGGCATAGCAAATTGAACCTAAAAGGAGTATTTTGGGGCCATTAACCATATCTGGATGTTTCAACTCATTCAGATTGCTTACTGTAAAGGATATTTGTGATTTATCCAAAAAAAAAAAAAAAAAAAAATGCTTCTAGCCGAAACACTTCAAAATAGAAAACCTAATTTATTTTAGCAAGTATCATAGAGCACTAGGAGCTGGAACAATGCATCACACTCTACTGTTACATCTCAGATTGCACTTCAAAGACACAACTCCGGAGTTTTTTTTTTTTTTTTTTTTTTCCATATTTACAAAATTTGTCAGATTACATCATATCATTGTCAACCCCAAAAGTTGTTTATTTCTTTTCTTTTCTTTTCAAAGTTCATACCCTGGGAACTTTGCCACTTGTGGTTCAACCATGTCTAGAAAGGTATATGCCATTCCTCCAAGACCTTCAAATAAGGAATAAGGACGATCTCCTCCATGCATCTTTCCTTCCGAGATCAATTTCTGTGCTCTATCAAGTAGAAAGCAAGAAAATGCTTTAGCTCTGTACAAGTACTCCACATTTCCTGTCAATCTGTATAGAGAAAGAAAGACATAGGTGTTTCCACTGATGCCATGACAAATTCCAACTCGCTTAAGCAGACCCCTCTCCCATACTACTTCCCCTGCATCTGTGGCTGCTTGCAAAAATTCCTTATCCCCAAACACCTAATGATTATGGAAAAGAATCAATTCATGAGATCTGAACATTGGATTTTAGATATCTAGGCTCGATAATTATTGCATAAATAGTGTTATATGAATTAAAAGAAAATCACGATATAGTACGTAATTTCATTCCGAGGAGTGGTAAAATTGCTCCTTTGTGATTGAAAGGTAACAAGTTCGAATCCGGGAAACCACCTCTATGCAAATATGCAAGTGTAAGGCTATGTACAAGGATTGCCCTCATCCCACCCTCGCTGGTTGGAGTTTAATGGGGAGTGGTTTGATTTACTAATTGAATTGCCTATATCACTCTTCAGTTTCATTACCACTATATGCATTAATTACCATTAGTCATTCTTTTGAAATGAAACAAAAAGATATAAAATCCATTGCAACCACATTCATGCAAATTATCAATTTATCAGTTCCTTCACATCTTATAGACTCCACATGCAGTTTGCATTTGAATTTGGTAACTAAGGAAAATATTACCTCAGCTGCTTTTGCTAGTGTGAGAGTGACTCCAGGGGCTCCATGACACCAATGCACAAGACGGTCAGATTCACTTCCTTCACTGGAGGGATAATTGCCACTAGGGAAACGATTCTTAATCATGTAAAGCAGTGTACCCTTGACATCTTCAACCTCATCTGGCTTGAGTTCCATGTCCATCAAAACATTCATAATTCCTGCAAGTCCATGGGCGGCACCCCAGTATTTCTTCCCATGCCATTCATACATCAAAGGACATCTTCCCTCGTGGGCCAATTGTCTACCAGCTGTGATAACTTCATCCACAACTGATCTCTATAAAAGTTAAAAACCCATTTTCATGGCAAGTCCAAATGATTTCATCAAAATAAATTGCAAAAGAAGAATGCCATGACTCATGAAGCTCATATGCCTTACCATGTTGGTAGAAGGTATGGTGTCTTTACCAATATGCTTGTTTAAGAATGAACAAGCCCATAAGTAACCTGCTCTGCCATACAATAGCTCATAGGGCGAATCACGAGGTAGCCCAATCTGTTCTCAAAGAAAAGGCACATATATGAAAAGCAGTTAATCAACAGAATTATATATATAAATTGGAAGTATCATAAGGGTAAAAAATAAATATAAAAATAAAAATACCTCTTTGAATTGTCTTAGGTAATAGTTAAGTAGTGTTTCATCACCAATGTGCTTAGCTATGACAGCACCAAGAGCACAAACACCAGCACGCCCACAGATGAATGTCACACGGCTGCAACTAATACATTAGCAAATTTAACTAAAATAAATTCCTATAACTGTTTACTTTTAGGTTTTTCCAAACACTAGTTTAAAACTCTGGTTCAAGTAATTTCCCTAACTTAAGTATAAGGAATAAATACAAGTGGAAATTTCACAAGTACATAACAAGACAATATCAGATTTTTAATTAATAGGTAAGCTAATATCCAAGCAAACGCTTTTGTTCTTCAATCCAACCATTCAAGTGAAGCAATCCTTAAAAAATAAAATCCTACATGAGCATTTTAAACCAACCCTTCAGAATAACTAAGCCATGATAACCTCTGATACAAGAAAGAGAGGGTACCCAGAAATTGCTGAAGCAGAATCACAAGCCTTAACAATCTCTGAGCATAACTTAAGATCATTCCCATTCTTGGTTACTAGGTAGGCCTTGAAAACCAGGTACGCTGTACCAAGAGCCCCAGTGTAAAGAGTATAGTCCTTCACACGCTTCCCACTCGAACCCCAAGTCTCCCTCACCACCTGAAGAAGAATATTAGAAAACAAAGCACAAACACTTGGATAGGAAAACACACATCGACCCACTATAGCACCAACGCAAAAGTTACTAACTTGAGCATACCCAAAATCAAAGAAAGCAAATTGAAAGAAACCCATTAACCCGAAGACCCATCAAGAACCTATAGAAATCTGAAAAATGAAGTTGGGGTGGCGTTAAAGTACCGATTGTTTCAAGTGAAATGCTGCTGATTGGAACTTTGCAGAGAGCGTTTGGGAAGGAAGAGAAAGAAGGGTGTTGAGTGATTCTGTTGTTGGAGTTTGTTGTTGTTCTTCAAGTGTGGTCTCTGCCACGAAACGTGGCATATCGTTGCGATAGAATCGATCGGCCATCACCAACCAAAGGCACCAAACAGCAGTGCGAGCGTAAGAGAAGAGTGTAGAAATTGTCAAATTGCTATAAAATGGATGATAAGGAGTTTAGAATTAAAGTAGTTAGACCATCATATTAACTGCTTAAAAAGTTTAATATTTTTTTGGCAGGTTATTATTATATGGAATTTGATTATAGGAAAAATATTTATGCAGAGTTACTGCAGATAAGTTATCTGCATTTATTCTCAAAACGACGTTGTTTTGGTATTAAAATCTTAAATAATTATAAATATAAAAACTATTATAATCCTGAAATAAATTAAAATTACAAAAATACCATGATTTCCACCGCAAAACGATGTCGTATATAACTTATCTGAGTAACTGCAGAAAAAGTGAACCGTTAATTATTGATTTCATTGCATGTAATAGTTAATATATTTAATAAATTAGAAACATTAGATATAAAAATGATTAATGATGAAAATTGAGACTATAATTTATACCGGTACAAATTAGGGGTGTTAACCCATATTGACCCACAACAAGGCACGGAAATTTATGTTCGAGTAGATGAGCAAAAAAATTCATGTCATTTTCGTGTTGGGAAATATAAATCGCAAAAAATTCATCAAATTTGTGTTAACCCATATTTTTTTAATTATATTATTATTTTTTTAATTTTTTTAAATTTTGACCCATTTTTTAGGTCAATTACCATTTTGACCCATAATTTGTGTGTCAATTGTATCGTGTCGTATTGAAAATTTGGACATGAATAAAAATTCGTGTTGAATTCGCATCGTGTCAAATTCGTGTCGTGTCGTGTCAATCCGTTTTGACACCTCTAAATGATTCTTTTACTTGTGCAAAATCATCCTTATTCTATTTTTTAATAATACATCGTTATATTATTATATGATAAGGCAAATAATTTAAAAAAATAGAATGACTATATTAAAATTATAATGTGTTTGAATAAAATTAAATTCTGTATATCTGAACATGATTGATCAAATAGAAGAAAAACCTAACTAGATACTACAACCCATGCATGCTATCAAAAAGGGAAAGTTGTTGAGTTTATTTTGGGTCGAAGCCTCACGCAAGTGTGGCTAATCATTTTTTTTTTTTTGGTACATACTAATCCTTTTTTTTTTTTCTCGGTAAATAGCTAATCCTTTTTTAATTTTGTGGACTAGTACAAAATATCAATTGATAATAACCTGAAAGATTATATTAAGTCATTGCATTATGATTAGTACTAGTCAAATGAATATTTTTGGGGTTTACATTATCCAATTTTTTTATTAATATATCATTTAAAAATTCAAAATATGTTAATAATTATATAAAATATCAAACTCAAATAAATAATGTGTAATATGTTATTAAATAAAAATATAAATCTATATTACACTAACGGTAGACAATAATTATTTTAATATATATGGGAATTGAGAGTTAAGACAAGACAAATGAGGCTAGCATGATGATTTGGTATTTTTTTTGTCGTATGAATTTTAATATGGCATTAAGCCAGTGGAAGCACGTGTTAACTTTGACAGCTGTGACTGTTCATCCATTTTTCACATTTGGTACGCTGTCATCCATAATACATTATAAATTCGTAAGAAAATATTATATTTATAAATTATTTGTTTATAAACTTTTACAAATTACACTAAGTATGACTGGTCATATTTCAATCAAGAGTATATGACTCGTCATATTTAACGTAATTTGTAAAAAAAATTTATAAACGGATCCTTTTCCAAATTCTTATTACCTACTTACTGCATCTTCATGTATAAAGATACAGATAGAACAGAAGTTAATATCTCTCGGTCACCATGTTCAACAGTTAACATGACACTATCTTTGGAAAAGCACTTCAATATGTATACATGATTACTCAGAAGGAAACAGGAAAACAACACAAGTAAGAAGAAAATAAAACAAATTCAGAAGGGTAGGGTGGGTAAGTTAGGAAAGGAGCATTGATGACATTTTTATTTTATATGAACCATACATAAGGGTGTATTTACATTTTAAGGCCTAATGTTGGTCCCATTCCATCCAATTGGATTGGCTTCCAACTCGAGGAATGCTGTTTACTCTTGCAAACTTATCAACCTTGAAGTTGGCCCCACACATGGCCCCTTCACTGTCTACCCTAGGCATTGCCTTCAACTTGTTCATTGGATGCTCAAAGCTCATCAAACCTCCTTCACTGTGAAACATGCACCCTGCATACCAATACCAACATGTCATTCATCTCATATCTATACAATTAGTCTATTACTTTTTTTCAAAAAAAAGTCTATTGAAAATTCATATTATATTAATTCTATTAAATCCAGACTAACGAAGATAGGACGAAGGGTAATTTCTATACACAATCTTCCTTTTACATATTTGTAAAAGAAATTATTTTTCAAATTCGAATTCATAACTTTCTGGTCACAAAATAACAGATTTATCACTAATCAAGACTCACCCTCTTTTATTTGAAACTCTTACTAGCCTTTGAATTAATGCAATTTCACTAATTTGAACTGTTTTTTTCTAGATAAAAGACCAATCAATTGTGGCTAAAATAGTACACCTGTTGGAAAGGGAGCAAAGGATTTAGCACAACCCTCTTTAATGACATCTAGATCATCAGAGATAACCACAGATCCATCAGCTGCAATACCCCAATACAACTTCACTCCACCATCAGAGCCCTACAAACCATGATCAACATCTTTATTATATAGATGCACTAGAATATTTAAAGATGGGAAAATAAAAATAAAAAAAGCAAGAAGAAGATGGTAGATAGCTAGCTAGCTAGCTTAGCATATACCAGTGCTGCAAAGACACTGCCAATTTTGCTGTCATAGACAACAAAGGCAAAGCTTCCATCAAGGTCCTTGACAACTTGATCTGCAGGGTATGGACCACGGTCACGGAGAGTCTTATAAGCTTCAATCACAAACATGGCCTCATCAGTACCCTTTGACAAACCATATTGCTTATTGAGTAAGTTCAGATTGTTCAAGCTTCCCAAGAAGAGACAGTATATGTCATCAACCCCACAAAACAACCTGCAATTGTGACCAGGCAAAATGAGTTTTCTTCATACATACTACTCATATGCAAAAAGGCAAAATCGGTACACAACACTCCCGCACTTGCAAGTATTTATATTTTTGCAAAAAGACTATTTCTACACTCGAATTTATAACCTTTTAATCATAAAAAAAAAAAAACCTTTATCACTGTTCCAAGATCCCACATACTACTTATAAGTACAAGCTTTAAGAGTAGAAATATTGATCTTTGTTCAAGAGGGCAGATGAATAACCTTTGATGAACTGAGAAAGGCTTATCAGGTCGAACATAAGCCAACACAGCAGCATGACCAAAGCTCATAGAGCAAGTGTTATGAGGATGATGGGAAAGGAAATCCTTAAGAGTTTCCTCAGGAACTTTAGGCTTTTTGGAACCTTTGTGAGATGCAGGACTGTTTAGCTCTTCAGGTGGATGAGCAAAAGCCTTGTGGAAAATTGCCAACATTTTGATTCTGCACCAATATCTCAGGCCTCAAAATAGGGAAAATGAATCCCAATTAGCTACACAAGTTAAAAAAATGAAAGCAGGGATTGTCAAGGGAGGGTAATTGTATATTTATATGGTTATAACGGTGTCAATATAGGTTTTGACACGCGGGTCGACCCGCGGCACGACACGAAAATTCGTGTTGGGTTGACCTGCAAAAAATTTCGTGTCGTATTCGTGTTGGAAAAAATGTCACATAAAAAATTCGTGTCGTGTTAGTGTTGATTTATTCGTGTCCGTGTTGACCCGTATTTTTTTTTAATTTTTTATTATTATTTTTTAAATTTTTTTTAATTTCGATCCATTTTTAAATTTTTTTTTTGTCAATTGCCGTTTTGACCTCTATTTTGCGTATTATTCGTGTCGTATCAACCCGCAAAAAATTCGTGTCATGTCAGTGTTGAAAATTTTGACACGAATAAAAATTCGTGTCGTGTTAGTATTAATATATTCGTGTCGTATCAACTCGTTTTGACACTCCTAGTTATATGGATTACCTAGTACTTCCCCCCAAGTGAACAAGAAGAGTTTGGGGTGGTTAAGGTGGCCTTGTCTGCAAGTTGTGGGCGTGGGTGGGTCCCTTGTTTGATGGATAAGTATCAAATTCCAAGAGGTATACTCTTAATCTTATCATGAGATTAAATATGCTACATTAATTATAATATTAGAAATATAATTGAAATATGAGATAATAATGCTACAATAACGCATATAATCACTCATAGTCAAGAAAAATATCTTTCTTTTAAAAACATATAAGAATTTTTTTTTTCCCTTCTGAAGATAGTATTTGGCCCCATGAGGTCACTGTCTTCGCCTCCTCCCCAAATTGCACGCCATTTGCAATTTCTGTGGGAGATTGGAGGCAGTTTCCCTTGTTTGGACATCAAAGTCACTCAATTATGGCCTTCAATTTGGAATTTTCTTTTTAAAAAAACAATTATCTTCTGTGTTTCTTTTCAGCTTTCTGAATTGCGTGTAGTAACTGGCTAGTGTGAGCTTCCAAAATAGACGAAGATAAAGATATTTGTCCATTTATACCATACTTAGCAATACAAGTGATGCGCTATTAAAATTTTAAATTAGTGAAAAATGATCAGTTTGAACTAGTAAATGAAACCTTGCCAAGTTGAAACGAAAAACCAGGCCTTTTATCCATTGCAAAGTCATTTATTTAGAAAAAAAATAAATAATCAAAACAATCCAAAATTTAAATGAATTATCAAAATAATACAGTAAAAAGCATATTTAAGTTGCATAGAGTGCATATTAGGTATTGGTAGAATCAATGGCTATTTGACTATTTTGTCCCTCATTAATTAATTAATAATCATTTTGTCCCTGATTCAAAATTATCCATCAATCTGCCCCTCTTTAATCGATTAACTTGCATTTTTAATCGATTAAATGGTTGTTGGGAGATTTAATCGACTAAATCTCCATACTTAATCGATTAAAAATCATACTGACTCGTTTCCCTTTGTTGCCTGTTGGAGATTTAATCGATTAAATATGGAGATTTAGTCGATTAAATCTCCCAACAGTCATTTTTGCCTGTTTTGACCATTTAATCTATTAAAAATGCAAGGTAGTCGATTAAAGAGGGACATATTGGTATATAGTTTCGAATCAGGAGCAAAATGATTATTAATTAATTAATGAGGGGCAAAAGGGTGTAAAAGCCTAGAATCAATGGTTTTAGTACAAATTATATTAGCCATAATTTTCGTTAAGGAGAGGTGTGGTATTTACCTCGATTGCACATGAAATGAGTATGTGATAGGTTATCAAAATAATCGTGATTAATTTAATTTATATTAGTTAACACTCATTAATTCGACCAATAACTAAACACGCATTTATTCAATGTATATTTTACCGTATTATTTTGTGTAATTTTTTTTAGTTTTGAATTTTTTTTTTCAAATAACATTGAAATGGTGAAAATACCGAAAAACCAATATGGATATGCTTTGGCAAGGTGTAGGACCAACAAGAAGAGAGACAATTATGACATAGAGTCAGCACAGCCACTGTATTTTTCAGTTTCCACATCCTGTGGGTTTGTAACTATGACATGTTCTTATCTTTCCTTTATTTCTATGAGCCTGAAGATTCCTTAGATAACTAGCTCAGCTTTCTCTTTATCTTTCTTTCTTTCTAATTTTCTTTTCTTTTTTTCTTTTGGAAATCTTCTCTTTATCTTTCTTATATGTGGACACCACACCTCATGATTATTATCGGGTAAAGTCTAGCCTTCATGCTATGGCTCAATTGATTGCCATTTCCAGGCTTTCCCATGGCTATGTACAATGTTATTCAACCCAATTTGTTTATCAACTCGATCGGCCGAAATATCGTTTTAATGGATTATTAGTTAAATCAATTGATACCAATAAATATATTAAATATATGTAAATTTATATTTTATATTTAAAATTTATAAAGAATTCAAATACTTAAATATATATATGATAAAATCATTTCTGCAACCGCTTTACATAAAACAACAACACGTGTATGGTTATAATTCTCCATATTTAATGCTTTTATCCTTTGTATGGTTGTGATTTCTTGCATTTAATGCTTTCAAATATATATATGACAATTATTTGATTGATGCACGTACAGCAGCTGCAGAAATATAAACTCATATATATATATATATATATATATATATTGCAATTTTTGGATTTGGGTTATTAGTAATGATGTAAAAACACAATATTTTACTGTTTTTTTGTTTTTTTTTAAATGTAAAGAATCAATTCAACTCAAAAGTTTAAGCTATTGAGTGAGATTTCATTGATAATTTTATACTTCTCTAATATGTCCTCTGATACGAGAGCTCATTGGGCTTGAATGGTGACCTAAAAGCTTAAGCTATTGGTTGAGGGTAAATCCCACGATCAAGACAATTGGCTGAATCCCGTGAAACCATTTCATAGAAGTTCATTGATATCCTCTTTTTATAAAGCAAATCGACTTCGATTACATTAATGATTTTATTTTTCTCTAACATAAAGAGTAAATACTCTTTTGGATCCTCAACAAAAAACGCAGAACCCATTTTAATCCTTTAGAAAAAAAGTACCCATATTAGTCCTTTTTGAGGGACTGACGTGGGTCTTCTTTGAATTTCAGAGGACCACAATTTCAAAGAACTGAAATTTCAGAGGGACCACGAGTCATACTTTTTTTTTCTAAGGGATTAAAATGAGTTCAGTGTTTTTTGTTGAGGACCCAAAATGATATTTACTCTAACATAAAAATTATATGACCACTGATTCAACAGGTTTAAAGAAAATTGGCCGAGACACTAGTTTTTGCCAAAAATGGTCGAGTTGAATCAATTCTCACCAGGTTTGTTACATGGCTGATCCGTTAACTCAGTCGGACCGATTGTATCACCTATTTATTGATTTTTGGGACAACCCGGCTGGTTCAAGTCAAGTTTAATAACACTGGTTATATATAATTCTTTATTTTAAAAAATTTGGATTAATACATTCAATAATTTTGTGTCACCTAGATATAACATTTTAGTGTACATCTATGCATAAGAAATCATAAAATATGATTATATGAAATTAGAACACCAAAAGAATTTAGGTTTAATTTCACCATTTCACAAATCAGGGTTACATATTTGTCAATGTGTTTTGACTTAAAACTTAATATTTTCACTAAATACACCATATAACCCACAATTTAATTATTAAAATACATTTCAAATATGTGAGGTGTTATAGTTTTTCTACACATTGTGAATGCTGAGGGAACCTAACCAAATTTATTAACCCCCTTCCCATCATGAGTCGATGGGTTATGCCTACGTTCTTACCCACATAAATTAATTTACAAAATCCAAGTCTAAACCAAAAGATCACTTAATTAAATGGTCTTCATACTGCATCCTTATATGTATAATGACTTAGCCTATTTTTATCAAAACAAGAAAAAAAACAATTGGTCGAAGCCTACAAAGATTATAAAAAATTCTAACATTATGCACAATTGGTTGCATTAGTTTTGTAGATACTTTGAAAATTCCTTGAATTTCATAATTTTTTATTTACAATATAATATTCTAAACTTTTTCCCTCATAAAAATTAGGAAACAAAGGATACACATTTTTGTAACCATTAGGGATTCAATTTAATTTAAAATAAATAACGTAATAATGAAATTCATGAATGTAAAAGGTGTTTGATTCATTTTGTCTTCTCATTTTTGGATAATATATCTTCATAAATAATAAAAAAATTATATTCCTGGTGCTTCTTTCCTTTCGGGATTTGACAATTTTGTACTTAATTAAAAAAACCATAAAAATAAAAACATAGAACAAACCAAATATCTCCTAGACTTTTTTTCTTTCCTTTTGGAAGAAGATATGTCAACTCTAACCTTTTACATAACCTATTTCCTATAATTATGTTCCCACCTTCTTTTATTCAAGCTATAATAATCCTAACTTGTGAATTATAGAATTATGACTTGATTAAGGGAATTAATCATGGATTAAATGAATTAATTAGGTGAGAGATCTAAGCAAAACAATTAAAGTCACTTTTAAGCAAAAGTGCAAATAATAAAAGTTTTGGGACAAAATATAATTATGTAAAAGTTGTTCGAAACTTAAAAGTAATGTAGTATGACATTATTAAACTTCATTGGTGAAGATTTGAATTATGAAAATATGTCTACGTCTTGAATTATTAAGGATTTAAGGCAAGGTTAATTATGTAAATAGCCAAATTAGATATTTACTAGAAGTTTGACTTGGTCAAAGTTAATTATATGAAGACTAAGTCATCTTTTTGGGTTAAAAACTATATTATTTTCGTGCTTCTCTTCATTTGGGCTGAACCACCATAGTTACTTAGTCTTGGATTTGCAAATTTTGGTTAGCTACTAAATCAACAAACTTCCAACATGAAAATGGTTTAGTTTCTTGTGATCAAAATCATGTAAAGAAAGCCTAGTGAAAGCAAGTGTGGGAGGAGAAAACATGATGGGAAGG